TAGCCAACCCTTCTTGAGAAAAGGGCGGATACAAACATTTGAGAGGCTGTGAGGAGAGGCAGGGAAAGTAGGTCTCATTTCTTGGTTTCATGTTGAAAGGGTGTTTATTGTGAATATTTAGATCTGGTCACTTCATTCATACATTCTTTGTTTAGCTCACGGGAAGCATTTAAAAACAAGATGGCCATCTACAGTGGGAAATCTACTGACCTTTAGATAAAAGTAGATTTATTTAACATATTTTCAATATTTGGAGGGGACTAAAAATGTTTAAAAATGTGTTGTTAAGCGTTAGATGTTAATGTTGAAATTTTATGAATTTAATTTTGACATTTTTCATAAACTATCTACAAATGAAATGTCTGTGTATGAAATATGATACTCAACAAAAAACACATGCAAATATATGCATATGTGATTTTGTTGAGTATCATATTTATACATCAGGCTTTTATGGCTCATATATGACAATTCATTGCGATAAAAAATGGAGAGATGGACAAATAATTGTTCCCCAAAAGCCTGTTGTGTCACATTTGACATTTACATTAACATGAAAAAAAAATTGTAAAAAGAAGTTTAAATTTTTAACGTTAAAAAAATGGTGTATGAATAATCAAGTAAACTCAAGTTGCTTCAGTCCAGTAAATGTTTATCTTACATTTACTTTATAAAAATCTTTAAAGATTTCTGAGCAAAAAAAAAAGACTTTACTTGATTAAAAGATTGTGTACAACAGGTTTTTCAGGAAAGTTTTGATCATATTGATAATTTATAGGCCCTTGAAATTTACGTATTAAATATGATACAGGCTATTTTCATAAATAGGCATTATTGTTCAACAGAATTTCACAAAGAATGTTTAGTTTAAGTTATGAGAGAATAAATGTTTTTTTTTTATTTTATTTGTAATTGTAGTTGTAACGTGAATTGCCAAACAAGCATTCTTTTTTCAGTTAATTTATACCCCCAAAGCGGCGACGCATCCTGGAGGATACAAACATTAAAATCTAGTCATGTTTAAAAAAAAAAAATCATGAAATTGTATTATTTGTGCCCTAAAAAGATGAAAAATAGCAATAAATTAATTTTCTGATTTCTCTTTATGGTCTTGAGCTTTTTAGGGTTAATTGATTTCTATAAGCTTTTGGAGAGGTCACTGACTTCCAGCCTGGTCAATGATCACTAAATGTCTTCAGTAACATTCTGAAAAGTGCAACTCTTTGTGTGTTATTAGTTACTAGTAGTAGTCACATTGTGTTATTAAAGATATTTCTGTCAGGACCACTATCGTCAAAGATGATTGACAATTAGCATACAGTTTGGATTGGCGGTATGGTTCTGTTCTGGGCAAGAACTCCGAGAAGGCTGAATCCCGACTGACAGAGGAGGAGCTGGGGATGGAGGGGGGTAATTAGCTATTGAGCAATGCGAAAACTGCTGATAATACTGAAGGACCTTATATATGAATGCTTAGATAGGTGTCGTATTCCCATATGTAGATGGGGATCAGCTGAGAGTCAGCTGATGCGAGCTTGACTAACGTAACCTGCCAGAACTAACGCTACGCTTGATATAAGTAGCTCTTCCTTGCTGGGGCGGAAAAAAAACTTTAACAACTTTTTGCTGGTCTGAGCAGGTTTAGGGTGGTTTTCCAACTTGATGAGGTTGATCTCCACAATTAGTGCTCTTCTTCCTGACCTAATGTTCCACTTGATACTAGCAGAAGTGTAAAAGAAGAGCCTGAGTCAACATAGCTGGCAGCATGAATGTTTGGCTGTAATTTAGTATGACAGTTTATGACACTGAATTCTGAGATAGGTCAGTGTAGTGAAGTGTGCCGTGTCATCCAGGAAGTCTAACTCATATTTCTCTTGAACCTTGAACACATTTATGAATGTGATCCCTCACTTTCTAACAATTCTGCTGTTATTTTGCTGAATAATAAATCTAAGAAAAGGTACATTTGATATTTTTCAGCATGGCACACGTAATACTCAAATGAGGTGTTTTTAGGAAGTAGAAGTTTGTTTTCGAAGGTCTATGAAATGTTACTAGGTTAGAGATCTTTATTAGCTGCTGGAAAATCCTGACTGTAAAATATTTTACATACTGTTCTCCAGTGTTAAAATAGTGTTACCCAGTTTTTATGTTCTTGAATGTGAAGCAATGATCACAGAATTTGGAGTGCATGAGACATTGCAGGCTTATTGCAGTATGAAGGTTTTCTTCGACCACTGTCATTTTTATTTAAGGGTTTGACAGCTAACTTCCAGATCTTCCAGATCGCTATTTAAAGTCAGTTCAGGAGAAAAGCCCTGCACCGTTGTGCAACAGACTGATGCTCTTAAGTTGGAGTGCAGGTGGAAGAGTAGAAAAAAGGTATTTGAGGCTCTAAAGAGCTGTAAGGTCTGCGTATTTCAGAACACACTCATAGAACAAAAATAACAAAAACAATCCCAGGAATATATTTACAATGCACAGCATATAGACTCTGTGTGTGTGTGTGTGTGTGTGTGTGTGTGTGTGTGTATAAGTTATATATGTAGCGAATCAGCTCATTCATGGGGAAATATGAATAATTAATCATAACTAGTTATAATTAATTATAAATATTTGACGCTACATATATTTTAAAATACATTTATTTCATACTAAGTATAGTTCTAATCTATTAACATATTTACTGACATCGCTCAAGACTTACTGATATAAAAATTATAACTAAACTTTGTTTGGAGTACTACTTGTGCACAATGCACATTTCTTAATATTAAGCCTAAAATGTGTTTTAATGCCACTACTGATGAGAATTGTGTGATCTTTGAATAATATGGGTCTTTAAATGCAAGAAATTTAAGTGCACCTAAAGTTTACTTGCAATAGCACAATCTAATATACTTCAGTATATCTTTAGTTGGACTTCAGCACTA